TTACATCGCTTTCCGACAATCTGTCAAAATGAGAGAAACATAATGTATATGCTTATATGACTAACAAAATTTTAAGTTCTTGAATAGCCATATTAAGTAAAATGACAATTCATTCGCATTTTTTCATGTTGAGCCAGAGTTCAACAAGATCAACTTCAAAATAGTGAAATTTTTTGATACTAGCATCTAAGCTAACCCCGATTAATAGAAAATGATTTAATATTGTCATCGAATGCTTAAATTTTGTCCACACTTAAAGCGGGTTTTCTCGAAATGTACATTAATGACTGAATTTCGATAGGTTCCATTGACAAACTTAACATTGATACTCTCTAAGGAAGTTGAATCCCGGATATGAGCATAAAGAAAATCATACTCTATCTTGGATCACTCTGTCTTCGGGAACATAAATTATAAAAATTTGTAATATTTGGCGCAAGAAAGTCGCCTCCCAGCTCAAATTTATAATAATTTTATCGCTTTATTTATGGTGATTTTCGGTATTATCAATTGCCAAACTTTTGTCGAAAGAGGAGGTCCGTGTAACATAAGGTGATAACTGATTAGTCCCTACTTGCAAAAGCAAATCTAGAATACTTTTGAAATAAGATCTCTCCTTTAGCACAATGATGGCATTGAGTTGACGGGCAAAGACATTTTAACCTTGATAATAAGAGTTAAGAAGGGCATGTCGTGCCTTTTAGGTAGCACTTACATAATTGTACTTATGTGGCTGCTAGTGTGCTTAGTACTCCATGCGATCTGATCACAGATACACATTGGGAATTTTATTATATCACATGTACTTCAGTAAAATAAATTAGTATGCATTGAAAATTGAAATTGTCATACAGCATATATTGATAACTGCTAAAAGAAGCATAGACTCATTCCTATTGCAATTTTTGTATTGATAATAATTCGTAAAACTCTAACAATATTGCAAGATTACCAAAAAAGGCAGCTGATAAAAATTAAATAATGACAAGCATCATTCTTTAGTACCATTCAAAAGGTCATATTAGTATTTGCTATTAGTGCATATAATAATCAATGAGTGCTAGCCTTTACCAGCTTGACTAATTTTTGAATTATTAGCCAATATCGAAAGCACTAAATAGATAATAATTAGCTAAAATAAATTAAGCCATAAATGTATCTTCATACCATGCATTGCTTAAACAGAGAATACAAACACTCTATTTTTAGCCAGCTCCTCCATCTGTGTATAAAAATATACTCTGTTCTTGATATAGGATAACATTATAAGAATATTTTCTGAATTCTTCCACAAGATCAAGTGACAGTTTCTATTTAATAATCAGTTTAACAGGTCTTGTCGCAAAGTAAAATCCCTTTTTAAAGTTGCGTGAGAAGGAGAAACTTGTTCTTTCTGGATTCAACCACAAAATTGAAGGCTATTTTGCTTTCTTCGAACACAAATAGCTTTAAATTTATGAAAATTATAGAAAAATACTTCAATTATTCTACAATAAATTAGGCCTTCGACATTTTAAAGTACTGCAAGTGTGCGCAAATTTAACATATAATGGTTCAATTTGATGAGAAAATTTCCAAGTGGATATTTTAGTCATAATCATTCTAATGCACACAGGCGTAAATAGATTTAGTGCGTCACTTATCTAAAATATATGTAAGCGATCTATCTGATAAATGTTCTACGTGGACCAACTCACTAATGGAATTTTGCCTAATGCAGAACATTGTTTCATGGAATAATCCTCAATGAAGACCTTTGTTATTCAAAAGATGTTAGTATTTCGGTATCCTATAGGGGTTTTACAGCAAGGAAGGTAAGCTGAAATACGCAATGTGACCCTGTCGGTAACACAAACCTTCATATTGTATCCGGCATTTCAGACGTCCGCAATGATATGTCCTTGTATCTTATGAATGGCATTTTCACGAAGGATCAAATACATCGTAAATTAGTTAAGTAAGACATTCTCGTATAGGGATGAGAAAATGTCTCAATTGAAATCCCAACATCCAAATGAGACCAAATCCGAATATATTTCTGAAGCCGAAGCTTATTAGTAAACGGGATTTGATCATAAACTGTAGTTACTCTGGGTTGCATAAGCTGAAGAAAGAACGATATATGAATTTTCTGCATACGCAACGAACAGGCGGCAGGATGCCATTAAGTTTTAATTCAAGTTCTTAAGGAAGTATTAAACGAAAAATAAGTATTGTACTCGATTTTAATGGCAAATAGAACTTAGGTTCAACGAAATGCCACAATGAAAGAAATATGATATGTGAAAGGTTTAGGCCTTTTTGGAATTGGAACTGGAGTAGTATTTTTTCGATATGCTACCACTACGCCATACTGTCATGGCTGCCGGTTAGTCACATGGAGGATGCGACCATCCGGAAAAGGCTAGTCAAGCCATTTCCATATCCCATTTATAGAGGAGATGATGAGGCAAACTTGTATTTTGCCGTAAAAATTGACCGCACTACTTATATTCCTAATTAGTAGATTTTGTGTCTATCAGTAGATGTGATAGTGGACAGAGAATAATCTAGATTTCCAGCAGTGATATGGCAACTTCATTCCAAATCACATCCATTTCAAAGAAAGTAGCAAAGGGATAGACTTCACCTGTCTCTTTGACAAGCTGCAGCTTTGTGTTAGGAATACAAATTTCGTTGTCGACATTTTAGTTCCTCATGAAAATGTATGGCGACGACAGTCGATTACCGTTGTTGTGCGCTTGTTGAGCTCTAATACGATGTTTAGGTTTACACAATTCATGAGATATCCTCTTTCGTTTCATGTTAAAACGGCCTGAGCTTTCGTTCCTCATATGATGACCATCATCAAATATGGAATTCATTCTTGCAAAAGTTTCAAGTATTCTTGAAAAAGTGTTGACGTAAAAATTTAGCAAAAATGAGATCCAGCTTTTGACGATATGCATCATATGACGAATGAAAACTTCGTTCGTTTTCACCCGAAACGGAGGCGGATGTCTCGGAGACTGCGTCAAAATGTTGGTTGTATTATAAGCCAAACCTTCGCAAAGCTATGGAAATCAGCCGTAGTCTTACTGTGAGATCAGCAAACGGATCCCTTTACAGTGTACTTCAATACAAAATGAAAGTCTCGACAACAGTGTTATCTTATCTTGAAACGTATCTACCCTTGGCATGAAAAAGCCAACTAACGATGGCCAAAAGTCTGTGCATGTGCCAAGTCTATGACCCGACGCTGGGACAAGGTGCATTATGCCTCGTCGATTTGACAACACAACAATCTACGAAAAGGATGTCAAACCACTTATACACAGCAACCAGAACAAAGGCCACAACTCTTTCAATTTCATATCTACCGAATTTTCGGGATACCAAGTCACATTTCTCACTTTCTGCCGACTGATGGTCGACACACTGCATCCGCCTCAGCTGATGATGATGATGATGATAAGGCTGATGATTCTGTGAATGTTGAAATAGATCCAGTTGAAATGTCCTGCCGGAAGAAGGCATTCGACCGCCTGAGCTTCCGGCCTGCAGCATTGGACTGGATCTGCCGAAATGAGGCATGGTTGGTGGGCAGTTGGAAAAGAGTGTCGTGTGGTTGGTGTCAATCGGGCCAAACTTGTCGGTTGTCTCAAAAAATGGTTCGCTATTTGAGCAGGCTCCAGAACAGGCGGCAACAGAATGTGGCTGGGCAATCAGACCAAATTGCCCCTCCTTCCGAAAGCTGCTAAGGCCACGAACTGAGTCTGCTACGCCGGAAGGTAGTGCATCTCCTGCCAGCTCCGTAGCCGTGGCAACAGTTGCCGCGCCTGCCGGATTGACAATGCAACCGGATGAACTCGACATGTCGACCGTTGTCGAGGCGACCAGATTGGAGGGTGACCACCAAGCAGCATTTCGGAGGGCTGGCCAACCACGTTGCCATGGCAGCGTCTTGGCCGCTCCTGCCGCGGCCAAACCAGTCGCAAGTGGGGCGGATCTGCTTTTACGACACCGGAAGACGAGAAGCCCAACAGAGACGAGTCCAAGCAGCACAAACAGACAGGACAGCCCAGCGCCTAGCAACTGCCAGACCCTATTTCTGGGAGGCCTGAAGGTTTGTGGTGTCGCCTGACGATGAAACTGCTGGTCTGGAGCATCGACTAGATCCTCGGCACCAGCATTGCCAGCCGCGGCTGCGTTCAAAGGTCCGAATTCAGGGTCGTGCGGACCGTTGGCAGGGTCGGGCTCGTCACGAGGCAGGTCGTTTACGGACCTCGATCGGGCTGGGGAGTCGGCCACTTCGAGGTAAAGTCGGGCTCGGGCTTCCAGCCTGGCGGGGATTCCGTTGTCCTTAGCCGACACCAGCACGGTGTAGCTGACGAGGGTAAACATCAAATATATGCTAGAGTTTTGCATATTTTTCGTGTTTATGTACCAATGGGGATGAATGACTCAATCCCATTCGATGAAATTAAAAAAAGCGATTGGCTAGAGATATAGTTAAAGTAGTGCTCTGAGTAAGGATAGAAATAAGACATATTAATTTTTCGTATATAAGCAGAGTTTCGAGACTACCAATAAATCAGTTAAATGAGATGCATTCACCCCATTTCGTTTAAGGTGTTATGCAGGACTGGTGGTAGAATCTTCCCACAATGATATGATTAGAACTGAAATTTTCATTGCATTTCACATGGCCTTGCTTTCCCAAAAGGTGACCTCATTCAGGCACCAGTGGACTGCAGTTTCGACCTCGCATCAACTGGTCTTATCAACAACCCCAGCGGGAGTCGAACCGCGACAGTGCAGCATGTGGGCTTGACTCGTTAACCACTCAGACACATTGCCACGAGTGCCCTGTCGTCACAGGTAGATTTACACTATTTCGTTTTTTTATCACTATCATATGATTACTCATTAATTTTGTATTAAATTTAAATTAATCTTTCTCCCAAAACGGTATCCTCCTACAGGGTCAGCTGTAGTTTCTACCTCGCCTAGGTCTAATCAGCACCATGACAGTACAGCGTATAATCTCGACACGTCGAATACTACGCCACACTGACACAAGTTCCTTTGACTCCCAGGTCAGATATGAATTCCAAATACGGTCAAGCCTGTATCGAAAACCTATTTATAATC